GACTATCTTTAGGTTTTCAAAGTTTTCAAAGAATAAATATTCTTCTTCAAGTTGAAGGTCTAGAAAATTTTGTAAGTGCGTTATTTGTATTTGTTCAGGTATGTCTGGATTCGGATTAATAAGATGTTTGTATATTTGCTGTTCGAGATTCGGGTAGTTATATTCTTTTGCGTTGAGTCTCCAATATATAAATGTTAATCCTTGTTTGTGTATTTCAATGATATTGGTATCAAGTTGTGTCCGTGATTCTTCAGGTATTTCTATCTTTTCTTTAAGTGTTTTAATTATATTTTTATACTGAAGTAGTATGTGCATTTAATTCTCGAAGTTGTTTTCTTTCTTGAATATAGGTATCTTTATTTTGATTATACCGCGATACTACAGATTTAAATACGAATATATACAAAAGACAAAAGATAAAACACCTTATCCCAAAGACCAATTTCACTCTAGACAAAAGAACAGGAACATAGATATCCTAAAACAAAGACAACCTTACAACATAAGACGGGATATCCAACGAACATTACAAAACCTAGTTGATAGAATAAACCCAACTGACAATAAAAAACTAGGCGCAACTCTTAAAGCTATCGAATCAACACTAGTAATATCATCACACATTACACGGAGTTAAACTACTTATAGTAAATTACCTCAAATAGAACAAGAAAAAATAATTATAACATTAACCGATATATATACGTATTTGGAAAATTTCCTAATAAATATAGATAAATTTGAAAAAGAAGGATTAATACCTTTTGGAATAGCTAACGTACTCCAAACAATATTAATAACTATACAAATATTCCTCCAAAGTGAAGGAATATCACAAAGTGAATACGAATCCTATTCAACAATAATATCATACATTGAAGCAATTAAATAACAAAGTATTTTAAACAAATCACATGCTACTCGACCAGAGATACAACTTGCAGAAGTAACAAATAGACCAACCATAGAAAACCCGAGATACTACAGAAACACAGACGAAGAAGATATAGAAATATCTCTAGAACAATACGAATTTCAAGAAATATTCTACCACAATATTACGCAAGAAAAATACTACCAAAACTACAGAAATAGAATACACTTTGTGGAAAAACCAATAAAAGAACAAAGCACCCAATACGACCCTGATGACTTCCACGAGTCAAAATTTAACTACTATAACACTTTCAGAACAAGAAGAGGAAAACTTATCATCTACCTTCCTACAAGAACTAATTGAGATAGGGAATAAATCTATAGTCATATACAGGAAAATACCGAGACCCTATAACCCAATTTATAACAAACAAGTACTCAACAGAGTAACAAACCCTCCAGATACTGAAACAGTACAAAATATTCGACATAGATACAACCAACTGCAACAGATAATCAAAACTATAAAACTAATTGAAATACCTTTACTAGAAGAAGAAGGACTAACGCTCCAAAACGCGTACAAAAATAGTAAATACTTAAATATTCTAAAATTTCAAAAAGAATTATCAGAATTAGAAATAATACAAAAAGGACCTGATCAATACCTATACAATAGAAGATACTTATTAGACAATATTGACAAAAAAATAGAAGCCGAAGTATGACAAGAAGCATTCTTATATAAAGCCAAACTAAATATATATCAACGAACCGGAAACCTAACACCAACGTACGACATAGACTGGCCACCGCATACTTATTAAATGAAAACTACCAAAAATCTAAAAAATAAATATTCAATTAAAAACTTAGAATACTACTCAGAACTATATTCCTTACGATCTTCTGAAACAAAAATATTACATAACAACCACCTAATAGGAAATAGTTTAATATTTGAACCAAAAATACTATACGACGAATTTCACTGGATAAAAATTAAAGAAGAAATATTAAAAACACATATATCAGGGAAACAAAAATACAGTTCAATATATAACACCAAGAAAACAAAATTATTGCAACAGGTCGAAGAAGTAATTAAATACTATAAAACTCATAGATTCTATACATTCCAATTACTGGAAGGGATACCACCATTTCACAACCTTTAAAAATGGAAAAACATCAGAATATAATCCAACCTGGAAGAACTATTAAATTTGCACAAATAGCAATATTTGACTGGAACGCCCAGGGAATACCAGTAGTATATTTATCCCAAAGAATAAATCCTAACAAAGAGTATTACTCCTGGTATAACTTACCCGGAGGAAAACAGAATAATCCTGACGAAAAGTTTGAAGAAATAATAATACGAGAAACTCTTGAAGAAACTGGAATAATACTTTACCAAGAAAAACTACTAGAAGTAGGTTATAACTGCTATCCACCTGGACACCCACAAGGATGGGGTGACAAAGCAACTGTGGAAATAAAAACATATATACATCCTTCATTTAACCAAATCGCAATACGAATGGAACTAGAAACCCATTCTGACTGGAATTATTTTA